ATATATATATATATATATATATATATATATATATATATTGCAGATCATTTTTTAAACAGTTTTAAAACGATTTTTATGGTTGCACTTCACATGAATTTGCAATATTACGATAGGATGGGATGTCACACAGAACTTGCGTAAAGAATATTCTAAAATTTTGCGCATTCATGTTGCTTATTTGTCGTGAAGTGTGCAGGATCGTTTTTATCTAAATTCGAATGCAGTACCTCATCTCTCTAATGTGTGAGATTCGTAGAATGTTTTAAGAAGATATTTTATCATAAAATATTTTAAAAATACGAATGCTCAAGTCTTACTTTAATATTTATGGATGCGTGTCCGCAAAGATCTGTTCTACACAAATTTGTCTCAAGTATGTCTCTTCACATTGCTCAGCAATAACGAAGAAAATTTGTCAACAAACTTTTTTACGTGTTAAGTGTTACTCATCCGTATACACGCATATGTACATGCATGCATATGTACGTATACATAATTTTTTGTTGTAAGATGTTTTTAAAAAAAAAAAAAAAACAATATGCGCGACTTCCGACGCGCGTCATTCTTTGATTGATTTACACACGAAAAACAGGATCTCAGCAGGGTTTGAATATCTCTCGCACTTAGCCCATTTCAAAGAATTAATACAAAAAAAAAAAAAAACTATATTTTGTACTTGCGTAAACTAGCAAACTACTTTCCAGTATTTATAAGAATTCTTGAAAAATGCTTTGATACATATTCTTCCCTTTTTATTTTACATGGTGATGAAATACGTTCCGTGATTTAGCAGCCATGAATGTGACTGTGATCTAGGAAACCAGAAGTAAAGTAAAAGTGGCAGCTACTCTACTGACTATTTCTTCACCACACGGCTTACTTCCTGTATGAGTTCCCTTCCTCTTGTATATTTCTTCCTCGATATATACATATATATATATATAAAATGAAATATGCACTGAATCGAGCGCTTCTTTACACTCAGTTTTTTATTATTATTATTATTTGCGTTAAACGTAATTTTTCTATGTGCTTAGCCGCTACGATTTATCGTAATACAGCGGAGGCCGCGAAGCTGACTCTGATATTCCTCGGGACCATCGCCGGTCGTGTTCGCGCGGCGAGGTATGAAATTTTTTCCAAGAAAAAACGTACCCTTTCTTGATCAAAGAAATATTGTCCCTTAAAACTCGCGGAAAATGATAAAAAAAAAAAAAAACAAACAAACTATAAACCCGTACGAGAGTCTTTAAACACAGATTGAGAAAAACTAAAAAAAACCTAAAAAAAAAAAAAAAAATGAGACTATCGCGAGACAGAGAGTAATATAAAGAGTGTTTGTCGAATGGTGGAGGGATGTGGCAGAATGAAAGGCCACAACTTTTTGCGAACAAAAGTACGGTCAGCTTCGCGACCGTTGCTGCGATCATTCTCTATTTTTCTTGTTTACTTTTGAGATATTTTTAAAATTGTTATGTAATTATATATATCAGTCAAGATTTAATGTGTTATAATTATGGAAATATATGAAGCATACAAAAAGTAATTATTATATAGATAGAAATCCGTATGTGTATCCATGCAAGTGAGAAAAGTTTCACGTCATATACATCGACATATATGTTCTACGTACCATTGTACGTGTGTAAGGATACTAGAGAGAAAAAAAAAATATATATATATATATATATAAAGTATATACATAAATGTATAAAGAAATGTATTAAACACAGTTGCATATATACATAATGAAAGACGTCATGGCATATATGTATCATAGAAAAAAAACAATTATAAATATAAATATATATATATATATATATATATA